CTCCTAACTGCCCTCCAGAACCCCACACCCTACCTAAGCCTCCCTGTTCCTTGTCCCCTAACGGCCCCCTCCTGAGACCCCCCCCACCTGTACCCTGACTGCCCAAAACCTTACACCCCCAACCCCCAGACAGCCCCCCCCCGAACTCCTGACCCATCCAACCCTCCCCCCTGCTCCCTGTCTCTTGACTACCCCCCCCCACCCCAGAACCTCCCTGCCACTTCTCTGGCCCCCGGCCCCCTTACTGTGCTGCAGAGCAGCGCGCTCGACAGCGGGGGAGGGGAGCAGGGTTGGAGCTCCAGACGGCGAATGGCCGGCAATCTGAGAATGCAGGGAGGGAGGGGGAGGGAGAGAGAGGAGGGGAGTGGTGTCAAGTTTCAGGAGAGAGGAGGGGGGAAGTGAAGGAAGGGCTCAGGCTCTGGCTCTGGCTGTCGGAGCCCCGGCTGCTTTGTAAGCCGCGCGCACGCTCTGTATCGGGGGGGAGGAGGGGAAGTCCGGACACTGACAAATTCCCCCCGGACGCTATTTTTAACTCGAAAAAGCCGGACATGTCCGGGGGAATCCGGACGAATGGTAACCCTAACATAGCCTTAGATAGGAAGCTCTTTGAGACATGAATCTCTTACTCTATTTGTAAAGAATAGGATAAATTACTTATTTATAACAATAATGAACCTTTGACTCCCAGAGGAGAGATCACAGGAAAGGTATACAGAGTTCAGCTCAAAATCTGTTTGACTTGCCATGGACTCCCTTTCTATTATACACAAAGGATTAACCATTCACATGACTTACCTAAAGAGTTATGAGAAGAGGCTGAAGTGCCTAACATACTATGTTCTGATTTCAAAGGCTGAGTCTGCTGTTGGTGAGGAGCCATAGTGGATGAAATAAAAGACTGAGACAACGACTGTGAAAGAGAACTGAGTGGAGAGGTTGAAAGGGAAGATGATGAATGTAAAGATGAGGAACGAGCAACAGAACCTGGAATATTGACAGGAGCTGAACTTCCCAGTAACCTTTGACCTATATAAAGAAAAAAAACATTTTTTGAGTTACAAAGCAACACAGTAGGATCTCTCTAAACCCATCCTCATAGGAAAAGGTTAATCAATTCTCTTACTTTTGTAAACAACCTGTATTATGTGTAAGTGCAGACACTATACATGTTCAATCCCACTGGACACTGAAGAGCCACTCAACCCACCTCCCAAACATACATAAGAGGTTCCTATGATGAAAGAAAATTTGTCCCTTTGTCGAATTATTTCAGTAAAAATCTGAATAAGACTGGAAGACTTAATGCACCACATTTCCAGAATGCCCTCCAAACAAAGATCTCAAAATATTTTACAAACATTATAAAACTCAATCCTCCATGTGAGGTACATACGGGATTTGCAGGAATCACACCACTCACCACAAAGATGTAACTGCCCCTAGCATGGAATACAGCAGACAGCAAAACTTCACCACAGTAAATAAGGAAGAATACCAGTAACGAGAGTTCAGATAGGCACAATGTATTTGGCCAAGTTGGAATTTGGTTAGAACATTCGCAAGTAAAGCACTGAAATACCAAATGAGCATAGGGCAGAAATGCATCCACTTAAACAGCAAAATAACTGTGTTTTTTTCTGGAGGATGATGGTGAAAGACAACCACTGTCTTTCAGGTGAGACAAAAATCACATAGCCCCTTACCACAAGTGGCCATTAAAGATCTCATGCCATTTTTGCAAGAGTTGGGATGTTAAATTAGGTTTTCTAGACAAACTCCAACATAGGCAAATGCAATCCATCTACATGACCTCCCCCCATGCAGGTTTCATTAGTTACAATATCCTTCATTTTGGAGGTTGTATAGTATTACCATTGATATGGGGAAGGACACAGAATCATAGAATCGTAGGACTGGAAGGGACCTCAAGAGGTCGTCTAGTCCAGTCCCCTGCACTCATGGAAGGACTAAGTATTATCTAGACCATTCCTGACAGGTGTTTGTCTAACCTGCTCTTAAAAATCTCCAATGATAGAGATTCCACAACCTCCCTAAGCAATTTACTCCAGTGCTTAACCACACTGACAGTTAGGAAGTTTTTCCTAAAGTCCAACCTAAACCGCCCTTGCTGGAATTTAAGCCCATTGCTTCTTGTCCTATCCTCATATGTTAAGGAGAACAATTTTTCTCCCTCCTACTTGTAACATTTTATCTTGTCCCATCTCAGTCTTCTCTTCTCCAGACTAAACAAACCCAATTTTTTCAGTCTTCCCATATAGGTCATGTTTTCTAGGACTTTAATCATTTTTGTTGCTCTTCTCTGGACTTTCTCCAATTTGTCCACATCTTTCCTAAAATGTGGTGCTCAGAACTGGACACAATACTCCAGTTGAGGCCTAATCAGTGCAGAGTAGAGCAGAAGAATTACTTCTTGTGTCTTGCTTACAACACTCCTGCTCATCCTAGAATGAGGTTTGCTCGCTTCCCCCCTCCCCCGCCCAATAGTGTTATACTGTTCACTCCTATTTAGCCTGCGATCCACTATAACCCCCAGGTCCCTTTCTGCAGCACTCCATCCTAGGCAGTCATTTTTCATTTTGTATGTGTGCAACTGATTGTTGCTTTCTAAGTGGAGAACTTCATATTTGTCCTTATTGAATTGTCCTTATGACATGGGGAAGCAGATCAAATCCCTGTTAACGAAGTTATAGCATTAGCGTAATTCACAGCAGATCTGACTTTACTATGGTCAGCAGCAGAGATAAATTCTAAGCTGCACATTTAAACTGTCAGATGTATTTTCTGGTTTCCATGAGGACACACCACTAACCACAGTAGAGAAAAGTAACAGCTAACACAGCACACTGTGTGCTTACAGAAACAAAGGAGTAGCCTGCTGTTGTATCTCTTTACTGAAAACTGGGGAGACAATCACTCAAGCAGAAGAGCATAACGTGTCCAAACTTTGAAGAAAGTCACTCTACCAGTACTGCTTGTTGCTCTCACAACAGGAATCACAATCCATAAAACCAGATTACCGTATACAAAGAATGTAAAATCTGGAATTTAAACACAAAGTTGTTGCCAGAGCTAACTTAAAAGTGATACTAGTTATTTTGGTAATCAAGCTGTGGCAGAGCACAAGATGTCATAAGTCCACACACTAATTACATTATATCACGTGCTGCTTTTCTGTCCTTCCACTTTCACCTCAGTTTTATTCCCCTCTTCCTTAAAATACACCCTCCCATGCAGTTCCCTCCCTTCGCTAAATCTTAGAAACAAGCCTCTTCAAATAAGTATTAACAAGATAGATAATAGAAAATATTGTAAACATCTCTTAAAATTAATAAAAATTAATGGAATTAACTGATAGGAAAAATGGTCACTGCACTCTACCATTCTGATTTCATTGCATTTAATCGTCCACACTTTCCTTGCACATTGACTATTTAAATTATATTTATTCTTCTTACTGTGTGCAAAGCACCTAGCACCCTTCTGTCTCTCTGCAAATTATAATAATGTTAGTGGTTCTGAAGCCTTTTCTTTCTGTATATGTGACATTCATTACCTTGGGGGAATGTTCTGGAACCTCCATATTCCTCATTTTTTTATAATCATGATCTTACATATAAAGCATGCCTTATAAGGTATCAGGGGAAAGGTTATGATCTGCTGGAAGTCATTTCTCTATCCATATCTGTATATCAATAATGCATATGAAGTTACGAGAATTGTGTTGTATGGTGGTCACTAAAACATGCTGTAAGTTGGGGAATCAGCCAGACATTAGCTCCCCAGAGGCAACAGCAAGGAAAGTAGCCAACATCCGGGTGGGGTATCAATCAACCCATCAACAACCATTGTCCGGCAAGGGAGCTATGATGCAATGACTCAACTGTATGAGGCCACACCAGGGGAATTGCTCAGCCTTGCCTAGAGATTCAGCAAGGCCCACCCACACATGCCTGGACTTGTGTTTTCCAAGCACATGGACTGAGGGTATAAAACAGAGTGGACACATACTGGGCCTTTTCTCCTGCCCCCACCTATGTTGCAAGCAACTAAGACACTGAGAAGAAGCCAAGACTCCAACAGAAGAGATTGGCCTAAGTTTAAGGAACAAATCTGTATATTAAGGACTGCAATATCCAGTGGGGTGAGAAACTGCTTAAGCTAGATGTTGCCCAGTCTAACAGGGTTAAGAGTTTAGACTGCATGCTTATATTTTATTTCTTTTGGTAACTAACTCTGACTTTTTGCCTTTTACTTAATATCACTTACAATCTATCTTTTATAGTCAATACATTTGTTTAACTGTTTATCTTTACCAGTGAGTTTGTATGAAGTGTGTGGCAAATCTCAGGTTTTGCAAAGGCTGGTGTATAACCACTTTCCATTGCTGAAGTGGTGAACCAATTAATAAATCTGCACTGCCCATCTTGAGCAGTGCAAGATGGTATATTCATGAGATACAGTGCTGGGAGGTGGGGGGATTTGGCTCTGGTGCCTTTCTCTGTGTGATTCATGAGTGGCTCTGGGAGCATTCATGCAATCTAGCTGTCTGTGGGGCTCCACATGCTGTTGTGCTGAGTGATCACAGCGCCTGGAGGGGCTTGCTGCTGGTCACTAGCAAGGCATTCTGAGAGACGACCCAAGCTGGAGAGTGTTAAGGGGGCACAGGGGTCCCACAGTCCCAGGCTGCACCCCGGGGGGATCCCGTCACATTATGGTCAGGAGAGATCCTCTCCATGTTCCTGTCTCCCTGGTAACTCAGTATTCGCACCACCAAAAGTTTGAGAAAGGCCCGGTGTAAATGTCAACAGAACATATGTGCTATAAGGAAAGAGCCAGCATGGACCAGGTTATCAATGCACTAATAAATTATTTTAATTTTGCTTTAGTTTCCCACTGCTCCATGGGGATGTTATGAAAACATACCCTTATTTTCTTAGCAGTGTGTCGCTTCGAAATGCATGACAAATTAAATATTTCATAAAACTACAATGGCTCAGTTTTTTAACTTCCTATTTTTCCATTCTTTTTCTCCTTCCTTTCTGCTTTCATCTAGAAAGGGTGGCATTTTTAAACTGTTTCTTCCTTGATGTTTTTCTCCCCTTCATCCTTCCTCCCAAGTTCTCTACCCCAATACTGCTCTTCCTCTGTGTTGTCTCTTCCTCTCCTTTCTCAGAACAGGCCAACTGGATGAAGTATTCTCAGTTCTAAGCAGGAAAGCAAATAATGTAGAGGAAAATATAGATAGCCGGCAGTGAGCACTGTAAAACAAAGCCAGTCAGACCTTCAAATAAACTGGTCATTCCTTCTTTCAAATATGATTATTTTACTCATTTAATTCTTTGCATTGTTTCCTTTTAGTCACTCATTAAGGAAAAACAGAATCAACTTTTTAAAAATCAAGATGTTCAGATCCTGCTTACTTTGAACACTGCCTCTGATGAATCTCAATGTAACTCATAATCCTTGCACATATAATACAAACAGGAAGTTTAAAATATAAGGGAGCCAAGGTCCTGATTTTCCTGAGAAAGATACTGAACTTGGGACTGAGTTGGAAAACGAGTTTTCATTAAAGCAATCTTGTTCAAATTTTCCCCACTAAATAGAATTGTAGAATAATAGTCAAAGTTTCTGAATCTGAAATTGGATCCATGCAGGCAGAGTCAATTGCCAGATCAAGGCCAAAGTTTACAGTATGGCTGTCCACAACATTATGAGTTGCTACGTGAGTCTCAGCTGTAAGATAAATCTTCGGAAGAGTCTTATTGGGAAGAAAATACTTTAAATAAATACATGAAAATGGATAACTTTTTAAACTGAGTTCTTACTTGTTAATCCAAGGTCACTGTTTTCTTGATCTTCTAATTCTTGATCTAAGGATGCAACACTTATATCACTAAAATGTAGATCTAAAGCAGAACCTGTTAAATAAAATATTATGTTAATGAAAATGTATCTGAATTATTGATAAAACTGTTATGTTTCCTGGAACTTCACAATAGTATCTGGACTGTTATTATTATTATTATTTCTATTACAGTCATGCCTAGAGGACCCTAGAACAGGACCCCATTGTAGGACCTGTACAGACACATAATAAAGGAAAGTTCCTGGCTCTTGTAAGACAATGATTTTACCTCTCATCTACTAGAAATTTTTTAGTATGTTAATCAAGTAGTGCATAAAGTGGGGAGGTTGGGGAGAGAGAGAGACACTCTGTTATGGATTAGAAATTAAGAAAGAGAAAAAAAGAGTAGTTAATCCTGCTGGGAAAGGGTTAAATACGTTCATTTGTCACCCCACCTGAATATATGAGAGGGGGCACTGGTACTCTGGCACTGAACAGTCCTGATGGAGGAATAGTCCTATGACCAACCAAGTCCGGTGACAATGTTTGAACTGAAATTTGTGTTATTTTATGTCTATGTAAATGAAGCCAAATGGAAGAGGATGAGTTCAGACTGTGCAGTCTTATGGACTGTATTTCTACAGGAGGTTGGGAAAAGCATTTGTTCACATCACCACCAAACCTTCCACTGTAAGATGAAAGAGAATGCATTTTGGTGTACAATGAAGTTGGATGCCAAACCTTGGAGTTTGTCCAATGTCACTCCTCCAGAGATGTATCCACTTTTGGGCATAAGGCAGCAAGACAGTCGTCTCCATGTATTAGCAGCTGGATTCTACTTCTACGAGTAGTTCCTTCACTCAAATTATTGCAGATGACTCAGTAAAAGAAGCCTGCCCCTTCAGTGTATTGTTTGTTACATCCACTGCTTTTTCTATACCTGGGTAATTAATTATTGTTTGTCACGGTCCAAATTTCTTGGTCAAGGTATAACCAAGGTCCAGATTCCAGAGAAAATAATACAAAAACAACAATAATGATAATAAATTCATGGAAGCCCATGACCTGTCTCTATTTTTTATTAAAAATAGCTGGGGGGGAAGGGGGGACAGACTAATAGTCTCTGCCCTGCTGCCGAGGGCTGACTGCTGGCTACTGCTCCGGCCACTGGCTGCTGTTCTAACGGCCAGGGCTGAAGCCAAAGAAGTCAAAAGCGTCTGGCGGTCTGGATTTGGCTGGAGGTCTACCTATTGACTACCCCTGTTCTATAGTATCTCTGTGAGTAGAGTTGGAAAAGATGGACATAAAATAAGGGGAAATCGTCAAGCTGTAAAAATCAGGTTGCTGTCTCTCTTCCCACTCATCTTATTCCTGAATTCTCTCCCCCAGCTATACTTCATTTATCTCAGATAAATTCATGCTTTGGATGTCTCTGACTTGAGGGACGTAGATGGTCTGGGGCCTTACATACGCAGCACAATTAGCAAAACTTTTGCTTCCTTGGTTCCTGATAGGTAGCATCGTCATGGTGCTTTGTCTCTTTGACTACAAAGGGAGGAGAAGGAACTATGGCAAACAGAATTACTGTGACTAACATTTCTTTCCAGAATCTAAAAGATCTCACCATTAAAATAATTTCCCTGGTCATCAATGTACATTTTCCTTTGATTATGCTGTCTTCCTTTGAGAATGCACCACAATTAATTTAAGCCCCCCCAAACTGGCTGGAAGCGGTATGGTCCCAGCAGGGGAATTGCTGGAGGGACCTGGATAAATAGGGGAGGGGAAGCTGTGGAAGCCCCTCCTCCTCCCCCCCCCAATGCAGTCTCAAGCTAAAAATAAGTTTATTCACAATCCTGAAAAAAGATTACATTAAAACAGTATATCACACAGCTTCACAATTCCACCTAATGGGACCTCACTGGGTAGGCAGAATGAGTGTTATACAAAAAATTCATTTTAGAAGATCTCACAAACTAAAAGTCCAGCCTTGTCCTTCCTTAACTTCCTTGATTAAAAACTCTAGGTTCAAATCAGCATCTAAGCTCTCATGCTTCCTTCTCTCTCCCTCCTTTCTCATCTCACTTACCCCTGGACTCCATGCAGATAGGCTCTACTCCTCTTCGGATCGTTAAGAGTCTCTTTTTGAACTCCCAAGTGTTATCTGGCATTAGCTTAGATACTATTAATGCCCTTCCTCTTAAACATCAAGAAGGCCAGCTCCTGCGTAGTCTTTATCAGTTTTAAACTACTTCTGATCATATTTTCCTGCTTATTTTATTGTCCCCCAAGACACACAAAAACATAACTTTAATAGTTCAATTAACTGGATCCCAGTTAGCAATTTCAGTGCACCATTTCCCCAAAAAGAAATGAATTATACCATCACTCAACAAAAAAACAGAATTATCACATGCAAAAAAATTACTTATTTCTGTCAAATAGGAATTCCTTTGTGTTCTTTTCTATTCATTACAAAGCATTAAGAAAAATTTTCTGAAAGTGAGCAATATTAGGTTGTGGAACATAGTTTCCCTACAGATCTCGTGAAAAGGCCATCACTCGAGACTTTGAAAAATAAGCAAGACTAAACACTAGAAAATGATTGCGCGGAATAATCTTGCACTGACCTCCTAGAAATAATCCAGCTGGTCTTTTCCATTTCTAACTTATGTTCTCATAATTCTTTGTAATCTTTTTGCTGAAATTTAAAGACTTCCTGTAGCACACTGAATCTATGCTATTATTGAGCCCCACATCCCAGATGTTTTCTTTACATAATGCATTTTATATATAAAACAGTCTTATCTTCTTGCCTTAAAAAACAAAACAAAAAAAATCAGTCTGAGAAAGTAGATAAATATAATAAAAAAAGAAAATTCTGCCGCATTGTTACACCTGCAGAATTTCACAAATGTATCTACCAAGACTTCTAAAACCTCAGGCACATTCTTAAATATTAATAAGAATTAATTATTGACAGCTGAGGCAAAATGCATCACTTGTTGCCTCATGTACATCAGTTCGAAGTGTCCACCTGTTGCTAACATCTCAGTGGAACATGAGTACCTGAAAAGAATGAAGCAACAAAGAAATAAGATGTCAGTCTTCAGAAAATAGTTATACAATAAGTTACAGGGGAGATTTTCAAAAGGCACAAATGACAGTTAGGAACCTCGTTCCCATTTTTGCCTTTGAAAATCTCTTTCACATAAACACAGAACAATACTGTTCTTACAAAGTCAAGATACACGTAGCAGAAGTTGCTTAATTGGGGTGGCCTATTGTAACAGAATATACTCCTATATTTACACCCTACACACTACTGTAATAATCTTTGTATAAAATATGCTTTGTAAGGTATCATTTGAAAAAACTAACTGTTAATAATATCATGGTAAAATGTAGGAAAGTTGTAGAGAAGGTCCCTATCCCAGGGGAGGAGGACAGCATCGCCCACGGAATGCTGTCCTATCCCCACTCTGGAGCAGTAGCGTGAACATTTCTTGTTCAAGTGAGTGGTGAACACATCTGTGGACAGTGTCCTGCAACATCTGAATAGGTCATGAAGTGTTGTTGGGTCTATTTCCCACTTGTGGTCGTGTGGGAATTTGCAACTGACTGTCCGCTATTGAATTTTGTGTGCCTGGGAGGTAAGCTGTAGACAGTAGGACGTCATGGGAGATGAACCAGTTCCATAGCCTCATCGCTTCCACAGAGAGGGAGGGCTCCCCCATCACTTAATGTAGTACAGACAGGCTATATTGTCCATTAGGATCTTCATATGGGATCCTTTGATCAGTGAGAGGAAATGGGCAGAGGTGATCCTGACTGCTCCTAGCTTGAGGAGACTGATGTGAAGAGATATCTCCATCGGCGACCACCTGCCTTGTGTTGTGAGGCCGTTTAGATGCACGCCCCATCCTATTTGTGATGTGTCAGTGGTGAGAAGTAACGACGGTGGGGCTTGCAAGAGGAGGATCCCTTTCCAAACATTGGCTGGCTCCTTCTACCAGTCTATGGAGTTTTTGATCCTAGTGGGTGGTGACAGGGGCTTGTCTAGTCTGTGTCTGTTTGGTCTGTAAACTGAGCTGAACCACATTTGAAAGCATTTCATGTGAATCCTGGCATGTGGTATCACCGCTGTGCTCACTGCCATATGCCTCGAGAGTTGGAGACTGAGTCTGACTGATATTTGCGGGCTGCTCTGAATGGTCTCTATGAACGTGACCAAGGAGAGGAACCTGTGTTGAGGTAAGAAAGGTCTAGGCTGTAACGAGTCGAAGTTGGCACCTATTAATTCCAGCCATTGTACTGGAGTGAGGGTTGATTTCTGGGTGTTGATCTGTAGGCCAAGTTCCATAAACAAGTGCATTGCAGCTTTGGTGACTTGGTGAGCCTCTTGGAGGGATTGGGCTCTGAGGAGGCAGTCATCCGGGTATGGATAAATCATGATCCCTTTGGAGCGCAGGTGACTGGCCACCACTGAGAGGACCTTGGAAAATACTCTCAGGGCCGATGATAGGCTGAAGGGAATCACCCTGTGTTGGTGGTGTTCTTGGCCCACAGTGAATCTGAGAAATCATCTGAGAGTCGGCAGGACTGAAAATATGAAAACTGGTTTTCAACCTCTGATCTTCAGGACACTTATTTCCCTGTTCCAGTGCTGGAATGATCGTTGATAAGGTGACCATCTTGAACTTTTGAGCATTGACACACTTATTGAGAGTTCTCAGGTTTGGTATGGGTATCCAACCTCCCTTCCTTTTGAGTATTAGGAAATAATGAGAGTAGAACCCTTTGCCTCATAGATTTTGAGGTACCGGTTCTATGGCTCCTAATTGGAAAAGACCATCTACCTCTTATCGCAGTAAACTCTCATGAGAAGAGTCCATGAAGAGGGATGGGGAAGGGAGGTAAAATGGATGGAGTACCCAGTTTGAACGATCTCAAAGACCCATCAGTTTGATGTTATGCGTTCCCAGGCACTGTGGAATGCTGCCAATCAGTGACCAAATGGATGTAAAGCGATGGTCTGCTGAATTAGCTGGGCAGAGCGGTCTAACAGTGCCTTGACCCACCCGTCAAAACTGGTGTTTGGCTGTAGAGGCTGGGATGATGAAGATGGTGGGCCAGATGGTTTATGCTTGGGGAATTTGCCTTACTTTCTCTGTGGCTCATAGTGGCATTGAGCTATGTACTGAGATGTGCGCAGTCTATGCTTGGATTGGGGACTGAACCCTCTTTTTTGTCCTAGCTTGTAGATGCCCAGCGACTGAAGAGTTGCCCTAGACTTTAATGCCTTAATACTTGTACTCACTTGAAACTCATCCTGATGGGCAGGATTCCCTCGAAGAATAGCATGAGGGGGAAAGGAGTCCAGGAGAGCTGGCTGTATTTTGAAGAACCCTTATTGAGGTTGCAGGAACAAACCATCCCGATGTGTAGAAAGAATAGTAAATATGGCAGGCAAACAGCTTGGCTTAACAGTGAAATCCTTGCTGATCTTAAACACAAAAAAGAAGCTTACAAGAAGTGGAAAATTGGACAAATGACCAGGGAAGAGTATAAAAATATTGCTCAGGCATGCAGGAGTGAAATCAGGAAGGCCAAATCATACTTGGAGTTGCAGCTAGCAAAGGATGTTAAGAGTAACAAGAAGGGTTTCTACAGGTATGTTAGCAACAAGAAGAAGGTCAAGGAAAGTGTGGGCCCTTTATTGAATGGGGGAGGCAACCTAGTGACAGAGGATGTGGAAAAAACTAATGTACTCAATGCTTTTTTTGCCTCTCTCTTCACGAACAAGGTCAGCTCCCAGATTACTGCACTGGGCAGCACAGTATGGGGAGGAGGTGACCAGCCCTCTGTGGAGAAAGAAGTGGTTCAGGACTATTTAGAAAAGATGGATGAGCACAAGTCCATGGGGCCAGATGCATTGCATCTGAGGGTGCTAAAGGAGTTGGTGGATGTGATTGCAGAGCCATTGGCCATTATCTTTGAAAACTCATGGCAATTGGGGGAGGTCCCGGATGACTGGAAAAGGGCTAATGTAGTGTCCATCTTTAAAAAAGGGAAGGAGGAGGATCTGGGGAAGTACAGGCCAGTCAACCTCACCGCAGTCCCTGGAAAAATCATGGAGCAGGTCCTCAAGGTATCAACTTAGAGGAGAGGAAAGCGATCAGGGACAGTCAGCATGGATTCACCAAGGGCAAGTCATGCCTGACTAACCTAACTGCCTTCTATGATGAGATAATCGGCTCTGTGGATGAGGGGAAAGCAGTGGACGTGTTATTCCTTGACTTTAGCAAAGCTTTTGATACGGTCACCCACAGTATTCTTGCCAGCAAGTTAAAGAAGTATGGGCTGGATGAATGGACTATAAGGTGGATAGAAAACTGGCTAGATCTTCGGGCTCAACGGGTAGTGATCAATGGCTCCATGTCTAGTTGGCAGCCGATATCAAATGGAGTGCCCCAAGGGTTGGTCCTGGGGCCGGTTTTGTTCAATAGCTTCATTAATGATCTGGGGAATGGCGTGGATTGCAACCTCAGCAAGTTTGCAGATGACACTAAACTGGGAGGAGTGGTAGATATGCTGGAAGGTAGGGATAGGATACGGAGGGATCTAGACAAATTAGAGGATTGGACCAAAATAAATCTGATGAGGTTCAACAAGGACAAGTGCAGAGTCCTGCACTTAGGACGAAAGAATCTCATGCACTGCTACAGACTAGGGACCGAGTGGTTAGGCAGCAGTTCTGCAGAAAAGGACCTAGAGGTTATAGTGGACGAGAAGCTGGATATGAGTCAACAGTGTGCCCTTGTTGCCAAGAAGGCTAACGGCATTTTGGGCTGTATAAGTAGAAGCATTGCCAGCAGATTGAGGAACGTGATCGTTCCCCTCTATTCGACATTGGTGAGGCCTCACCTGGAGTACTGTGTCCAGTTCTGGGCCCCACACTACAAGAAGGGTGTGGAAAAATTGGAGAATCCAGCGGAGGGCAACGAAAATGATTAGGGGGCTGGAGCACATGACTTATGAGGAGAGGCTGAGGGAACTGGGATTATTTAGTCTGTAGAAGAGAAGAATGAGGGGGGATTTGACAGCTGCTTTCAACTACCTGAAAGGGTGTTCCAAAGAGGATGGATCTAGACTGTTCTCAGTGGTACCAGATGACAGAACAAGGAGTAATGGTCTCAAGTTGCAGTGGGGGAGGTTTAAGTTGGATATTAGGAAAACAAATTTTCACTAGGAGGATGGTGAAGCACTGGAATGGGTTACTTAAGGAGTTGGTAGAATATCCTTCTTTAGAGGTTTTTATGGTCAGGCTTGACAAAGCCCTAGCTGGGATGATTTAGTTGGGGATTGGATTGGGGTTGGACTAGATGACATCCTGAGGTCCCTTCCAACCCTGATATTCTATGATTCTATGAAACCTCTTTGTCGTTAAATAAACTTTTTTTGTTCTCTAAATCTGTGTGAGTAACTCCATTTAAGATGGCAAGTTGATGTATATTGTTTCCTTACAGGGACAACAGACCTTTGTTATGTGAACTGTTTTGGAAAGGGCTGGACAAGCGCACTATAGAATACACATTTTGGGGGAGAAAATCTGGGACTGAGAGTGTGTTGGGGTCACTCTGCATGTAGTAACTAAGGGTGGTGGAAGCCAGAGTGTGACTGAAGTTTGCTGGCAGGCTTCAGCTATACAGATACTCAGGGCATGACTTGCTTACGGGAAGGCTGTTTGTGAGCGGCCCAGGTGGGAGCTACATCAGAAAGGCATTGTAAGGCACCCAAGGTTGCAGGGCAAGGGTGACAGTCCCTCAGTGGTCTGGACTTCACCGAGAAAGGTCATGTTTCAATGAATTTTCTATTTTCCAAAGATAGTGCCGGTAAAGCTTAGACATTCCACAACAGGTTCTGCAGAGATCAGAAATTCTGCATTGAACAAGAAATCCCAGTTATATTCAGTGGGAAGGGCTGTATCTTATTTCTCAATTAACCAACATTATTACTGTTACTACAAAGCAGCAATTCTTCCCAGTGAACAACACTGGAGATTAGTTCCCTCAGAAGCATTCCTATTAAGTGGATTTTCCTGACTGGGGCTAAGTTAAAGAGAGTGCATTCTATATTTCATTTTTCCCAGTATATAAAAAAGTATAATACATGCACCTGTGCATTATTAAAAACCATAAAGCAGAATACCATGATGTGCTGCAGTGTCATCCAAAGCTACAGTACCCATCTTTCATGTAAATTACTTAGGGTGGATTTTACCGATATTAATGTTCATAAACAGCAAATACTGAATATGCACAGCAACTATTCCTCAAAGTTTAATCACTTGGCTAGGTTAATATTTTCCCCTCAAAATACCAAAAGGAATTAGAGGAAGATAATAAACCCTAATTAGCCATATTTGATTGAATTTTTTTGTTAAATTAGAATAGTAACCAAACCACCCTAGTCTTGCAAGCTTTCAGAGATAGAGGCGAGAAGATGTTATATTTATATAATTCACAACTTTTAGTTTAAAACCAAGATCGCTCAAAGTTAGAGCTTTGTGGCAAACACCAGCATAAAGCACACTCGTACAGCAAAGTTACATATCATTTAAATAACTGGGTTTTCTAATGGGTTGTCTTGACAGTGACAGAAATAGAGCACATTATTTTCACTGCACTCATATATATACACACAAGGCATAGCTATCACAATTCCAGCAATTATATTCACACATGCCAGTAATTCAAGAGGCTAAGTCCTTGCTTTAGAGAGAGAGAAGGCAATAAGTCACTGTAAACACAGCAATGTATGCATAAAAGAGATCCCAGTTAGCCCAATTCTACTGATTCTGTTAACCGAAACAGCTGAAACTTCAGTACATTTTTTTTATATATGCAAAAACACACACACACCATAAGAATATTTTACAGTAAGAGAAGCAACATTCTGCTTACCTCAATACCTAATTCAACTGGAACATCAAAAATAATCAAATACAGTATATCATGAAAAGCCCAGATTTGTCATTGTGCTTTGCAACATCTGTCCAGCTTCTCATGCCAATAAAGTAATATTTAAAATGCTATATTTCATTTTCAAATATTTTGTTCAATTTTGATCTTTTTAATATTTTAATTATTAAATTAAAGCAGATTTACTACACTGGTATGTATTTTACTGTCATATTAATAAGATTACATTACATCCAACCAACCAAAATATTTCAGCTAGAATATCTTTCTTAGTAAAATATGATTTACTTGAATATTGCCAAATTTAAACACTGGTTATGAAAACTGTTAAATTATATTTCTATTACTTTTATTTTAAAATAATCAGAAATAAGACTGACCAGGATTTGCAATCTTAAACAATCTGCAATTTAAGAATAGCTTAAAATCACTTATTTTCAGTTGTATCTCAGAGTTCATTAAATATGTTTTTTAGAAAAACAACTATGCACTTATTATAAAGTCGGTGAAACCATCTTCCATTTAATATTCTTCATTGATTTCTCTACGGAAAGAAATCAGATGCCTAACTTACCCTCTCTGTAAGTGCTGACTCACTTGTCTGCAGTCTCCTGGTCTCTGGTACATACCAATTTAAACAGAATTGTTCAGATGCACCAGCTAATCACAGCAACTCCCTAATCACATGCCCTAAACCACAGAATCTGCCAATGAATGCAATATGCAGCGTGCCTGTAGCTGTGTTGGTGCCAGGATATTAGAGACTAGGTGGGTGAGTTAATATCTTTTATTGAACCAACTTCTGTTGGTGAGAGAGACAAGCTTTCAACCTGAGACAGAGTTGAAGAATCAGCTGGTCTCTCTCTTGTATTACCTCACCCACCTCGTCTCTCTAATGAATGCAATACACTGTTCCTATTCTATCACATTATACAACAGCCATATAGCCAGTTCTTCATGAATGTGTATTTACTCTGAAAAGAAAACAAATGAATAATGTCTATAAAGATTATATACTTTTGTGGATGAGTGGAACATAAAGTTAAAAACAATAAAGAATGCTTTGTTTTAAAAAATACCCAATTTACAACAAAACAATTCTGAATACTCTGAGCTGTTAGCTTATACATAGAGATACAGTTTTTCACTTATAAAAGTTAAAAATTTGGTGAAACCATTTAAATTTCAGATTTGTTTTGTTCTTTTTTACATCAATCTTCATCCCCACAAACATCAGAAAAAGTGTTTGGCATGGAAACTTAATCATCGCCACTCTAAACTGCAAGATGAAACAGAACCCTATTAAGGTTACCTCAAACACCCACCCTTGACTGGATTGGCAAATTAATTACCCACCCTGCATCTGCCCCATTCCCATTGCCATTGAGAACTAGGTTGGAAAGGATCTGAATAATTCTCCATCACCCAACATGAAA